GTAAACCATAGGGGTATGAAACCTTCACCAATGTCTTCGACTAATTAAGGACATTCTTCAATCTATTCATTGCGTGACCCCTTCAATGAGTTATTGCCCCTGAAACTTTTTGAATCTAACAAGTAATTAATTTTTTTAAAAACGACAAGTTGTAGAGACATGGGACCAACTGCATAAGATTCATTGACCTTTGACCTTAAAATTCATGTAAAGGTCAAAGGTCAAGGTCATTCCAGAAATGAGAAATTTAGTTCTTTTTATATCTCTTTTGTCTTTAAACATATACTTAATGTCTATGCATCATTAATATGTACTCTTAAAACTGTTTCAAAGATTTTACTCTTATCCCCTAATATTAGCCCTTTTAAAAGTTATTGCCCCCTGTGCGGAAAACCTTGTTATCACTACTCCTCCGAAACCGTAGACTGTAGAGACATTAAACCTTCACTAATGTCTAAAGGGTCTTTAGCCCTAACTTCACTGTACAAGTGCAAATGGATCTGATGACCCCTTATATGAGTTATTGCCCTTTAAGTTTTTTGTACTTACTATTAAACCTTATAACTTGAAAACTATAAATCATAGAAGCATGGGGACAACTGCATTGTGACCCTTGACCTTTGACCTTGAAAATTTTTTAAGGTCAAAGGTCAAGGTCATTCATTTTTTTTTTTTTAATTTTCATTTTTTTCTATGCTTTAAGGGAGTTTTGGTTTCTTTTTCATGGAATTTAATTTTTAGTAGTCCGATATAAAACAAATTTAAAATTCAAAGAAGGTGGAAAGACCTCTTATTGTTCTGTGAACAATAAGTCTCCTAGTTATTATTATTCTTCTTCCGCTGATTTTTTGTTTCGACATTTATCGAAAAGACTTTTTGTTCATCGTAAAGGTCATTAAAAGTTATGAACAAATTTGACCCAACGCGTATGAACTATGTCCGCTTTCGAAGTTATTGCCCCTTTCGAAAGAAATGCTTGTTATCGCTACTCCTTTGAAACCGTAAACCGTAGAAATATGAAACCTTCACTAAAGTCTTCGACTCATTGAGAGGACTCTGGGATCTATTCATTGCGAAAGTATTCGGTGACTCCTTCAATGAGTTATTGCCCCTGAAACTTTTTCAATTTTACAAATAATTAAAAATTTTTGAAACGAGAAGTGATAGAGACATGGGACCAACTGCATAAGATTCATTGAGCTTTGAGCTTAAAATTCATGTAAAGGTCAAAGGTCAAGGTCATTCCAAAATTGAGAAATTAAGCTCTTTTTATATCTTTTTTGTCTCTTAACATATACAAACTGTCTTAGCATCATTAATATGTACTCTTAAAACTATTTGAAAGATTCAATTCATATTCCGTAAGATTGACCCTATTAAAAGTTATTGCCCCTTTCGCAAGAAATGCTTGTTATCGCTACTCCTTTGAAACCGTAAACCGTAGAAATATGAAACCTTCACTAAAGTCTTCGACTCATTGAGAGGACTCTGGAATCTATTCATTGCGAAAGTATTCGGTGACTCCTTCAATGAGTTATTGCCCCTGAAACTTTTTCAATTTTACAAATAATTAAAAATTTTTGAAACGAGAAGTGATAGAGACATGGGACCAACTGCATAAGATTCATTGAGCTTTGAGCTTAAAATTCATGTAAAGGTCAAAGGTCAAGGTCATTCCAAAATTGAGAAATTAAGCTCTTTTTATATCTTTTTTGTCTCTTAACATATACAAACTGTCTTAGCATCATTAATATGTACTCTTAAAACTATTTGAAAGATTCAATTCATATTCCGTAAGATTGACCCTATTAAAAGTTATTGCCCCTTTCGCAAGAAATGCTTGTTATCGCTACTCCTTCGAAACCGTAAACCGTAGAAATATGAAACCTTCACTAAATTCTTCGACTCATTGAGAGGACTCTGGAATCTATTCATTGCGAAAGTATCCGGTGACTCCTTCAATGAGTTATTGCCCCTGAAACTTTTTGAATTTTACAAATACTTAAAAATTTTCAAAACGAGAAGTGATAGAGACATGGGACCAACTGCATAAGATTCATTGAGCTTTGAGCTTGAAATTCATGTAAAGGTCAAAGGTCAAGGTCATTCCAAAATTGAGAAATTAATTTCTTTTTATATCTTTTTTGTCTCTTAACATATACAAACTGTCTGAGCATCATTAATATGTACTCTTAAAACTATCTTAAAGATTCAGTTCGTATTCCGTAACATTGACCCTATTAAAAGTTATCGCCCTTTGTGCGGAAAACCTTGTTATCGCTACTACTGCGAAACCATAAACCGTACAAATATGAAACCTTCACTAAAGTCTTTGACTAATTGAGAGGATTCTGGAATCTATTCATTGCGAAAGTCTTCGGTGACTTCTTCAATGAGTTATTGCCCCTGAAACTTTTTGAATTTTAGAAATAATTAAAAATTTTCAAAACGAGAAGTGATAGTGACATGGGACCAACTGCATAAGATTCATTGACCTTTGAGCATAAAATTCATGTAAAGGTCAAAGGTCAAGGTCATTCCAAAACTGAGAAATTTAGCTCTTTTTATATCTCTTTTGTCTTTCAACATATGCATAATGTCTATGCATCATTAATATGTACTTTCAAAACTGTGTCTTAGATTTTATTCTCGTCCCTTAAGATTGACCCTATTAAAAATTATTGTCCCTTGTACGAAAAACATTTTTATTGCTATTGCTCCAAAACCGTAAACCGCAAAGACACGAAACCTTCTCTAATGTCTTATGGGAATTTAGGCAAAACTTTTACGTTCAAGTGCAAAAGGATCTGGTGACTCCTTGAATGAGTTACTGCCCTTAAATGCTTTTGTGCTTAATATTAAACCTTATAACTTGAAAACTATAAGTCATAGAGACATGGGGTTAATTACAATGTGACCCTTGACCTTTGACCTTGAATTTGACTTGAAGTCAAAGGTCAAGGTCACCTAAAAAAAAAATTTTCATTTTCATTTTTTTTTTCTTCTTTTAAGCCATTCCTGGTTTCTTTTTAATGAAATTTAATTTTAAATAAATAAATATTAAATGAAATTGAAATTCAAAAGGTGGAAAGACCTCTTATTGTTCTGTGAACAATAAGTCTCCTAGTTGTTTTATTTATTGTGATACGTGGCTACATTTATGTATGAAAGATTGTCAGTCTCCAGGTACAATGTATGATCTGTGGGTGTCTTTGAGTAAAACTGTATTGAAAAGTACGTCTAAAAAACCTAACAATATAATCAATAAAATATATAGATATAACGAACAACACTCAAGCTCAAAGGTCCATTAAACAAAATTGGAACAGAGCAAATACGGCCTTTTAAAATCCAAGGTGAGATCAGGTGCCATGGAGGAGTGAGCGTCCCCTGCCGACAGGTCACACACGCCGTGTGCTCCTCATCATGATCGGGAAATAGCAGCAAAAAAACGTCATTAATTCGGTGTTTATTAAATGGCCTGAAACGCCAGTTAATGTAGTATTTGACTTAATGACATATTGTGTTTGCTGATAAAACCATCGTATCCACCAAAGAACTTACAAATGGTGACTTTAAATGAGGCCGCTAATATTCTTGTTTCAGACTCCTCTTAGAAAATGTTCATACGTGTACGTAGAGCATGCTCTCGCGTATCGAATCAACTGAGATATATAAACTCCGTCTGCAGGCTATGATATATTGCTGCATAAGTAAGGGAAGTTGACGATTGAAATTCATTTCAGTTTCATTTTTTTCATTTTACCCATATATACATGCCTTAAATTGTTATTTTCAAGCTATCTGTTAAAAGTTTATATCTATCATCTGTCTTTCAGCGCCTGATTTAAGCAAGTCGTGCTGTATTTTGAATAGAAAGAATATCACAATTAGCGAGAAACTCGATCTTAAAATGCTTTTAGCCAAGCAGAAACAGTTTGATAGGAAAAAGAAAGTAAATTGACATTGGAGTAGCATTAATGTAAACAATCTAAAGCCAAATCACCTGGCAAATGTTCTATGAAGTACGATTATCTTTTGACTCCCCCAAAGCATAAAATTTAATTTTCATCTTGATTGGACTTGAAACAGCCATGCTACGAATGTACAACCTAACTGTCCATTTTTTGCGTCAAGACTACATCAGAATTTTACATGAAAAAAAAAACATTTTTATTCATTTAACTTCCTTCAAATAAGATGTACTTATTTAAATCTCTTGTTACATAGTGGTCTGTTACAAGTAACATGCATGAGCATGTGCTTTCTTATTTTTTGTTTACTTTTCACCCGGTTGGCCAATTTGTTTCCTGATATACACATTACTGAGCCAAGACTGACAAAAGTTGCTTTCACTCTCTGCAGTTTCTATTATGAATTTTCTAGACAAAAGTTTTAATACTTTTAATGTTTTTCTTTCTTTTGAGAATCATACACAATCCTCTCATATATGCAGCGTAAAGTCTACTTTGTTCGAGGTCAAGGTTATAATATGCAAATCACACGTGTCTGTAGAATTGCTGCATTAATTAAAACAACGTCATTTAATTTGTCTTATAATCGGTAAATGGTTGAATTTAATCCATTTCTGAGGAAAAAAAATAACCAGAATTCCATTTCAATTGAAAAAAAATGTGCCAAAGAATCTGAAAACTGTAGGGGAAAATATGTAGTACTATAAAATACGAATTATTTTTAAGTAAAATTACTTTCATAAGATCAGTTGTCCTCAATTCTTTCGAGGCTTCTAAATTTTCTCTCATACACTTAATTAGAAAATGTTTATCTTTCTCTCCGACCCTTTTCTTTGGTTTCAATTAAACGCCTTATCGTTATTAATGCCATAACAACGATGAATTGTAAAAAAAAAATGCTGAATCCTTAATCATGTTAATAACATTTATGCATCTTTTTAAAATAACACATTTCAATTTTTTTAGAGAAACAACACAGAATAATTGCCTACAAAAACATACTATTAATTAACGAAGTACACTTACATGATTGGTCGCGTATCCATGCCTAGTTTCATTTTCAGAAATATTAAAACTGCTGATTCGATTGAAATCCATTGTAAATTATATATATTTCAAAAACACTTCAAATCCATGATCAAAGTGAAGAATGCGATCTACATAACCTTCACATGTTTACTCAGCAGTTAGCACAGAAATGTTGGATTACTTTAATATCGAGTGGTATCATACATGCTGAATTCTCTCTACTGATGTATGGAATGGTCGGCTATATGTGAGTGGAACGTTTTATTCGTAAAATTAGTTCCAAATGAGAAATTATTGATTCAGGTGCAACATAAAAGCTTGTACCTTTCTAATTTAGATTATTAGCAAAGGACAAAATCGTAGAATTTTCTAAATGAAATAATTCTGTTTATCGTGTTTTCAACACAAAAAACCCTTATCAGCACCTTAGGTTGTGCATGCTTGCAATTATAAAATTTATCGCCGCGCAGTCTATTAACATGATTTCAGAGCTAAAGCCTACCACCTTCACTTTGCAAAAAAAACCCGACTCTTTTATTTTCTAGATGAACTGCGATACCTGAAAATTGCAAATCAATTTTTTTCTCTCCTCTGGAATGTTGGAAACAAGATAGCGAGGCAATTGAAACATTAATTGCCTGGGGATCTGTTTCTAAGAATAAGAGAAGTCAAACGTATATACATTGAACATACAAAACACGGATCAAATTATTCTGCGCGTAAAAAAAATCATGTAGAAAGTTTGCCGTAGGAAGGTTAAGATAAGCAATTAGGATATACGTATACTCGTATGCTCATTATTTCTAGTGTAAAATCTGAACAAATGTCTGTGTTTTTGAAGAAATGGGTATATTTTTATATTCAAAAAGTTTGTTTCAAATTATCATTAGGATATAGAATTTGTGATATCAGCATGAAATAAACATTTAAGATAAACATGTATTACGTTTGCTAGAAAAAGGTTGTAGACTTGTTCTATTGTGAACGCGCTATTTAAATAACAGCAATATAACCCTTCAGATAAAAATTTGTATGTACTTTTCAATAAATATGCAAGAATTTAATGGTTTCCGTTGATTCTTAAAGAAACGATAAATCTTTATTATTCAGATAAAACGTGCTCCATGTATCATTTCACTATTTCGCACATTTACATTACAAGGACATTTGTTTGAAATTAAGAAAAATAATTGCACAGTCGCAATGCATAGTTACTGTATTTCACCTGTCGTAATGATATTCATGAAAAGTATTTACTATTTGAACAAGGTTCGAATGAAATTTTTTCGACTCTTTTCTCGCTATTAATGATAAATGCGTAAAAGGCAACGTGTGTTGTAGCACAAATCTATTCAAAATGTATAACTACAGACAGAAAAATATCCGAAAGAGTCTATTTTTATATTTTTAGATGTTGCTGGAAATTTCTAATAATATCTAAAACCGAGGTATTCAAATGGTAGTAGCCTTTTAATAATTGGAGGAAGGATATTTTGGATGATCACATCTTGCGGTACTCCAGTTTACAACTTATAGCATTGACGTTGTCCCTATAGATTTTGCATTGTTTCCTGGTTTTTATCTGCGTAGAGATTGATTTTAAGATCCAACTTACATCCGAAGCAATAGAAAAGGTATTTTAGAAAAAAGTGTCTTGATATAGTTATTCAATTTTTTAAAAGAAAAAAGTCCATAGGGTGAAAGACAACAATTGTGAATAGCTTAAAATGTTTAGAATCGGTTTGTCACGCGTACGTCACATAACGTAAAGTGTTTGCACTGTTACTCAACGATTGAATAGTAAAAATAATTTTTTATTTTCAATATTTCAATACATTGACCTGCCATTTTACATTAACTAAAAACAAAAGAAATACAAATTATATCAGACATGCGTCAACTACATTGTACATGTATATTGTAATTTTTTCGTAAATGAGTGTGTACGCGAACTTTTCTAACAACCCATACATGTGCCATACCTTTTTCTAACCCTTTAATTTCTCAGTTTACAGACCTTTTTATCATAGTACCAATTATTTCCGTGTCCTTTCTCACAGAAAATTGTATTTGTTAAAAGTAGACAAGAATCTTCGTCGTGGCCAAGTGCTGAAAATCATTAGATCTTCAAATCACATTTCATGTGACAGTAGATTTAAAAAGCTAATGGGTTTTCTTCTTTTAAAATTGCTAAATTAAATACTCTATTCTGAAATGTTTTCCTCAGGGGATGCTAATTTTATTTGAGTTTTTTTTCTCTGTCATTTATTTTCATCCAAATAATGTTTTGCAATATTTTTACTTGGAAAATAAATGACATTTTACTTTCTGTAGATCTTATTTTCTAATGGCGTGAGGCGGACATTCATAAATGGAAATTTCCTACCTTTATTAAATGTACTAAGATACTCAGAGCATGTAAGCTATATCTTGACTGTAGAAACTTGAATCAAGATTCATGGAAATGAAAAGATATTAAATATAAGATTAATTATTGTTTCTTTAAAACACTTCTTTTGAATATGTAAAGGACTGACACATAGGGACGACTTTGCCCTGGTGTATTACGAATTATACTGTAATGTTTTACAATTACATGTAAATACCTACAAGTTTTTGATACCAAAGCTTTTTATTACAAGAACCAGGGGGATCGCAAAGCGGAGCATCCCCTAGCAAAGATCATACTTATATAACAAAAGAGCATTTTACATCAATATTGGTGGCAAATGACTTCACTTCCGTTCTGCAAAGGACATAACAAATCTATACCAGAAACACACACATACACAACAGTTACTGCGATACTACTACTTGTAAAGGGAAAATAAGGTTATAAAAAATGAATGCAGTATCATTGTCGATACAGTTACCTTGTCAGCAAATACAATATATCAACGTATCGGCAATATTATTATACTTTGATTCTAATTGAAATATATAAATTCATTTCCACTGCCTTCAATCAATGAAATATCATATAAACAATATGCCTCTGGAGTCCGTTAAATCACTGCAAAGGGATAGTCTTATGACGTTGATATCGATTTATACATTCAAACAGCATTGTTAAAAGTTCTGAGTGCATTATATATTTTTTACAGACATGAATAGTAATTCTCGTTTAAAAAAAGATTATTTCAGAACTGATAAATTTTTATCGTTTGTTAAATCAGATTACAATTAAAAAAAGGGGTGTGGGGGTAAAATCCTGTATTATGTTGACTTTACAATTACTGGAAAAGCAAACCCGTAAGCTGTGCAGTTTCAAATCTGATTTTGCTCCTTGTAAGATAAAAGTAAAAACCCATCTTGGGCGCCCTTTACTAAGTATCTAGCAGTCCAATACATGTATTATATAAAGAGTGCTATCTGATCTTTAAATGACTGGAATCTTTTTTAGGTAAGAATAAAAACAGTCTGATACAAATCAACCTTCACTGGCTTCAGGTTTGCCTTTGATTGTCAAGCGACCATAATTATAAAATAGGTTAGTCTAGGTTCGATTTTAATCAGACTGATGAAAAAAAATCTTCAAGGTCGGCATGATTGACGTATGAACATCCGATGTACTTTAGAAATGTAGATAAAAAACAACCAAATATTTTAATTTCAGTAGATGTCGATTTCCTAATACAATTCAATTTTATTTTAATTTCTTCTGATCGAAAACTAAAAGATATGGTTAATGGAGATAAAGAACAGTATTCAAGCTCAAAATCCATAAAATAAAACAAAATTGGAGCAGAGCAACAATGGATCTCCAAAACAATCAGAGGTGGGATCAGGTACCTTGGAGGAGTGAGCATCTTCTGCTGACCTGTCACATTCACCGTGTGCTCGGGGAATTACGGTGAAATCCGAAGACAATTCAGTTTAAACTATATATATTCAGTATGAAAAACTTCAGTCAGCATTTGACTTAATAATAAATTGTATTTTCTGACAAGGTCATTGTATTGACCAGGGAATTTACAAAGTGAGATTCGTCCATCTGCCAATCTGTAAACAATTTTTAGTCTGATTTCAATTTTACGTGGCCCAAAGTAGACTACACTACGATACATAATTCTGTGTTTTAGGTTATAATTTCAATAAATACCATGGGAGTTACATGGTAACTAAGAACAGAAAATTAATATCTTTGAAATACTGTATATGTACTTGAAAACGCAGGCTTCGTATTAAAGCAGCTTTAACGCAGATAACAATACGCTTATTAGTGAAAAAAGCAAAGAAATAATCTATAAATACAATAAAGGACACACACACGTATAGCGCTAATCCATGATTACGCTAAAAGCTATGTACCCAGTAATTGCTCTAAATTTGAAAACGCCAAATTATGTACATGTACAGTATTTTCGAAATGCTACTTCTCCTAAAGTTTTGTTCTTATTGTAATAAGTATTTTCAAAATGTTACTTCTCATACAGTTTTGGTTTGTTTGCAATATAAATTGGCACACGAGCAGACTACACAAAGATACACATTCCTATTTATCGGTTTTGATTTTAATGAACGATGGTGCCATGGTTAGTGAAATTAGAAATTTCTTTGATATATTCTTTGATATATTTTCAATATACTGGCCAAGAAAAAGACCGATGATAATTAAATGATTTATTGCTGATGTTTCAAGTTCAAATGCTTCTTTTCTCTTCTCTCGTTATAACTTGAAAGCAGTAAAGCTACAGTCTCGTCAGAGACTTCTGGTTTTGTTTGCTTAACCTCTTTTTATTGTATTACTCATATTGAGACGCCACCACTTCCTTTGAAAGGCTGAAAATTTAGATCTATTAAATTAACTGCATTTGAGCAGTGAGGGATCTTTCTGAATCAGCATTAACTACAACAAGGGAGCTTAATTTATACTGTCTCATCCGAAGAATAGGTCTCCTTGTCTCCAGGATTCAAACTCATAAAATAAGAATTTTTTAAGGAATCACTGTCTAGTTAGTAGTTTATGCCAGCGCATCAACGATAGTTGGAAATTTGGGATGATTTGCATAAGGCGAGAGGCTCATTATGCATAAATTATCGCATGTTTTCATCTATCGTTGATGTCCCTGGCATACTTTAACTAGACAGTGATTCCTTATATTTCCATACCATTGTGAAAAAAATGTGGATTTAGATTTTAAAAATGTAGACTTATAGATTTAAATTGCACGAGGTCTCCCATGTAAATTTCAATAATTTTCGCCAACTGGGGTCAAATACAAAGACAGCGCACAAGATTTGTCTGCATATTTGGC